ACACACACAGAGAGAGAGAGAGAGAGAGAGAGAGAGAGAGAGAGAGAGAGAGATTGCAGTCTAGAGAGAGTGAAAGAGGAAGAAAGTGGAGAGAGAGAGAGAGAGAGAGAGAGAGAGAGAGAGAGAGAGAGCCGTTCCACCTCCGCGGGCTAGAGTGTCCGCATTCCTTCTGGGCCCACCAAGAGCTTTTCTACTCTGCTGCGTTCAGATCGTATGGCCTTCCCACTCCACGGCCCCACTAAGCCCCGCCCGGCAAGCTAAGTAATAAGTGTCAGGATACCTTCGGTAGTCGCTGCAGCCTTTGATGCTCCACACGTTATTCGAGGTTCTTTCAGCCATACGGTACTCTCTCTCTCTCTCTCTCTCTCTCTCTCTCTCGCGCGCGCGCGCGCGCGCGCGCTCGATCGATCGATGTGGTATGCTCTATATGGTACGGACTGGCAAATAGATACAGCAGCTGTGACGAATGCATTCACATTTGATGCACGGTATGTTAAAGAAATTGATTTCTTTTGGAAATCTTTTGACTATCAGAAAAATACCGTTACTGTGGTGCCGTTAGCTGTTGCAAAGCTAGCCGCATTTGAAAGTAGAGCAGAGTAAGAAGCACTTCCTCGTCGATGTCAGACTCCATCTCTAGCCACCACGTGCTATGACCTCCTCATAGACGATGAAGGGCTTACGTTGTCGTCCCACATGGTTCCGGGCAGATGATCGCTCATCTGAGGACTTAGCAAGTGTGATAAGATCCTACGGCCTACAAGAAGCGGCCGATCAGGTAGTTGCAGACCTGGATTTCATAGTCTGTAATGTAATTAGTGTGGACCACCTTTTTTTCCCCCCCCGTGAGCTGGTTACTGGGATCGCGAGGACGAAACGAGGAAATGAGGAGAGGAAAAAGGAAAGAAGAAAGGAGAGAGAGAAGAGGAGGAGAGGTTAGGAAGAGGCCGTGTGGTGCAGACGCCGCGCACAGCCCGCGCGCAGGCACCTCGGGGGCGGGGCACTCTGGCGCAACTAAGCGGAAGGGGGGCGGGGCACTCTAGCGCAACTAAGCGGAAGGGGGGTGGGGCACTCTTGCGCAGCTAAGCGGCAGAGGGGCGGGGACTGCACACAACTAAGCGGAAGGGGACGGGGCTTGCGCCGTAGCTGGGCGACGTACGTCCGACAATGCTGCGCAGGTCAGGGGAGATCAGACACCGCATATGACGTGGAAGAAATCGACGTCTTCTCTTCTCTTCTCTCCCCCTCCCTCTCTCTCTCTGTGTCTGCTTTGCTCGTTGAACAAGCTTAGAGAGAGGGTGATTTCAACAAAAGCCTGGACAGAGGACCATAAGTGAGCCTTCTTTTTTTTTTTTTTCTTCCAAATTTAGTCACAGTTGCTCATTTTAATTTCTTTCTATCGGAGTGATGACCTTTGGCGCTCTTTCTAGACAATCCGTTTTTCTAATTTGATCTGACTTTTTTTTTTTTTTTTTTTTTTTTGATCTGACTTATTCCCTTCGAGGAGGCGATTTTCAAACAGTTTTATAAACTCATTTCTTGACTTCTCCTACGCTGTCTTCTTGCCGCTGCCTGTTTTCTGTCTTCTTCGTTTACTGTACTTGACCTGGCGGACTTCTTTTTTTGGGGGGGGGGCTGTTAATGGAAGCCTTTTGTGTGATTTCCGGCGTCTTCTTCCTCTACGATTGATCGGTTGTCGCTGTTTTAGTTCTCTTTCCCCTTCTTTCTCATACGTGTACCTCCCTTGCTTTTTTTCGGGTAGCAGCCCTCTCTGACGCCCCTCGCTTGTCCTCGATTTGCCTGGTCTCTACTCCTCTCCCGCCCCGCCTTCTTTGGAACTGTTCATGCACCGTGCGCTTCGTGGTGATCGCTGGCGATGGCAGAGAATGCTGTCAGAGCGCCGTTGAGAGGCTGACGAAGAAGGGGCTGCGGAACTGGGCGCGGGATCAACAGGCGAGCAGACTGGTGGTGGCGTCAGATCGATCGGCCAAGAAAGCGACAAGTGGCAGTCGATCGACGGACGAGCGGGTAGCTGTTAGTTGCTGATAGCAATCAAGATCACTGTCAGCTATGTCATAGCCTCGGTTACAGAGCGGGTTACGTCGCCGGCTTGACTCGAGCCTCAATTGCAGCTCTCCGTTGCAGCTTCGGTTTGCCGCTCCGTTAGAGAGCGGCTTGCGCTCTTCGGCACAGGCTCGGTTGCAGTCTTTGCTGCCGGCTTGGCTCCAGGGTTCGTCACAACACAAGCTTGGTTGCAGGCTCGGTTGCAGCCTTGGCTCCCCAGCGTGGTTGTGGGATTTTTGTCAGGCTCGGTCGCAGCCTTGGCTCCCAGCGTGGCTGCGGGATTCGTCGCAAGCTTGGTTGCAGATTCGGTTGCAGGCTTGGATTGGCTGAGTGAGTGCAAGTTGCCAGCTCGGTCGGTTGAAGGCTCGGCTTGGTTTAAAGGTCTGTGAGGTAGGTCCGGTACACACACTTGCAGTTGCTGGCATTCGCCATCGTCAATGCCCATGCGGGTCTCGTCTTCTTACCGTCGTGATCAACTGAAGCTTTAATCAAAGCATTCGCAGTTTCCCATCTTCATGTTATGTAAGATCTATCGTTTAATCAAGCCATTAGTGAGGCGATCGATCAGTGTATAAATCGATGATTCGATGGCTTTCTAGCATGCGTAATCACTCCGTCAGCCAATCACAGGCCAATAGGCACGGACATGATCTGTCGCTCTTCGCCCTATCGTCGTTCTTGCGCTAAGCATCCTCTCGAGTTCTTGCATCCTCTCTCTCTCTCTCTCTCTCTCTCTCTCTCTCTCTCTCTCTCTCTCTCTCTCTCACACACACACACACACACACACCCGCGCGCGCGCGCGCGGACCGTTCAACCTCCTGACGAGTCGGTGCAGCTCCGACGAGACAATCTTGTTATCGTCAGTTTTTATTTTTTTCGGCCTTCTGATTTTTTTTGGGACTTGTATTTTTTCCTGCTTGCCTTTTTCATGTGTTTGCATGTTGTCTGCACTCCCGCCTCCCCCGTGCCCTCCAGCCTATATGCCTTGATGTCCTTTTGCTTGCTTTGTTTTGGCATGCCTTGATGCCTTTCTTGTCTGCCTGATTTTGGGCATCCTTCTGGGACTCTTTTTTTTTGTTTGCCTGCTGATGTGCTTGCATGTTGTCTGCCCTCCTGTCTCCCCCATGCCCTCTTGCCTATGTATTTGGCACTTCGGAAAGCTGGTCATGGATAACCACGTATGCACGAGGTAGCTTCATGAGATGTAGTAGAGTGGCAACATACAGCGTTAGTTTGGTTGCTGCAGGGAGGGGTGTACCATGGGGTCCATGGGGTGCATGGTGAGTAAACCATGGGATGTATTGGACACGCACGCACGCACACACCAGAGATCGGGTTGCTAGAGTTTTATGGCTGTGACAGACTAGTTTCTCCGACTGACTGCCGTTCTTGTCACGGGTTTGGACCCATAGCCTGCTAGGATTGCAGACTTGGTTGGTGCTCCTCCACTTTTCTCCCTCTCTGGAAAGGGTATCGCTAGCTCTGGGTGACGTGCGTTGTGGGTCCTTATCAATTACTCATATGCATATCATGCATCCTGGCAGACCGTCTGTCTAGGTTCAACCTCATGGTGAGTCGGTGTTACTCTTATGAAACGGCCAAGCAGAGTCATATGCTTTTCTTGTGGAGTTGTGTATCGCGAACATGACAACACACACAAACACAAACACACACACACACACACACCACACACACATACTTTGCGCGCGCGTACGCCACGACCATCTGTGCCGTTTATGTCCTTGTCTCCACGGGTCTCCTATCATGAACACTCCGTCTACATTGACTTTTCGTTTTTGCCGACAACTTCCGTACACTCCGTACACTCCGTCCACTCTCTCAGGCTTACGCTCGTTCTGATGGTTTTTGTTTTTTGTTTGTGGGTCGATCTCACTTTCACGGACGCTACTGGTGCTGTCATCCTACGCTTGGTCTTACGCTGTGCTTCATGCTACCCTCAGTCTCGGTAACGCCGAGCTCACTGTGCTCCGTGCTACGCATATGTCTCGGTACTGCCGCGCTCACTCTCATCCTCTACGCTACCCACTGCTCTGCTCTGTCTCCTTGGACGCTGATGCTGTGGTGGCCGATTGACAGCCTTGGGACCCTCATCCTGTGCGCGGAATAATTCCGTTGCTTTGCATCTTGTTCATACTACGTGTGACCCACCACCTATGCTCACTCTCATAGACTGCTCCCTCTCGTGCTCTGCTCGCAGTCATTTAATGCTATGCTTATGCTATGGTATTCTCCACTATTCGCATTCAGATGCTCGATATCATGCTTTGGTCGTTCTCATGCTATGTCCGTGCTATGTATGTGCTACGCCTGTATGCTGTGATGCTTTTCTGATGCGCGCTGTCGTGCTTTGGTCGCTCATGCTATGTCTGTGCTCTGCCTTTTTGCTATGTCTGTGCTATGCTGCTGTGTTCGCTCTCATCGTATCGTATTTTCATGCCCGGCGTCGTTCACGAACCCTGCCATCTCCGCCCCCCCCCCCCCCCCGAAAAAAAAACAAAAAAACAAAAAAAACCTGCAATCTTAATTCCTTGTGCTGTGCAAGGCCTTTTTTTGTCGCGGGAGTTGCTGAATGTGTCTCCGGATTTGGCGGGGATTTGAATTAACGATCCAAATTTACTACCACGTGTGTGTTCCAGGAAGCCACGTGCCCTCCTTTAGGCGATCGCACCGTCGTTCATTAGCTGTGCGCCAGGCGTTCATTTACCAAATGCCCGCATTTAGGCGATCGCACCGCCGTTCATTCGCTGTGCGCCAGGCGTTCATTTACCAACGGGCCTAGCTCAGTGCATACTCGGGGCATAAGGGCCAGATCCCACTGGCAAGGACTATCGGACAAAGTGGCTGAATCTGGACGTGTTCCACGCAGAGATGCAGAAAAGAAGATCTATCACAGTTTTCTGCACCTCGCCACAAACACGTCCAGATTCAGGCACTCATTCCAATCCTCTTTGCCAGTGGGATC